TTGGTTTTTTTTTTCCTTTCCATGAGAAAGAAGAATAAAATGTTTCAAAAATACTCTTGCTGGTTGAAAGTTTAGATGGGGGGGTGATTTTGGCCCGCAAGTTTCAACCTCTACTCAAAATCTGAGCTTCCTTTGTTTTTCTGTCTTGTTACCACTGACGTGAGGAATCCACAAGACACTTGTTCAGGCAAAGGGCTGGTACAGCCCCTTCAAGGAGCTGTAACCAGAGCTGCAAATCAAACAGTTCTCTAACAACTGGGTCAGTGTATATAGAAAGACTTTCAAATATGGTTATTTATTCTTACTCCTGCTGTAAGATTAGTCCCTGCTGTGCACTCCCTTCCAATTCATTCAATTTAAATAAAAACTTTCTGCTAGAACTCATGTTCATATCAGTGACATTAATCTAAATAAAATATCCCAGGCACTTGAGTCTCAGGAACAGTCTTATGAAGAAACAGATCATATTCTATTTATTTGGAAATGGATGCATGTTGACATTGAAGTTATTTCAAAATAATGTCAGAATGTTAAAATCTTTATGGAATCTTAACATTAAATTTTATGAAGACAGATGTTTGCTGGGATGTGATGCTGAGGGCTAGGACCAAAATCAACTATAGGTAAAAAACCCCACAATACTGCCATAGGGCAGAAGAGGGAACAAACACAAACTCAGGGTAATCAGACCTGTCATTTTAATAATTTTTATCATTTTTTGCTTGATGTTAGTAATATAATGTAAGTTAAATACAGTGCTGTACTAGTTTGGTAATTCTTTCTGGGTGAACACACAAATACTATCTTTCTTTTCTTTTAATGTGCTGAATTTTTTCCTAGAGAAGCTTGGCAAGTCTTTACTCCCAATCAGAGGTCTGAAGAAATTGAGTAAGTGTAGATAAAACCAGCTTGTTTAATCACTGAAACACAGGAAAAATTAAAATACATTTTTTGCTTGCAAAGTAGAGGAAAGCAATAAAAACAATGCCAGACGGTTAATGCCTCTCTTGTACCTTTAATTTCAAAGACCTCAAAAGAACATCAAGAAGAATAAAGGCAAAATCTATTCCCTATTGGCATCATTATAAATGTTGTATCCTCTGAAACTCTAAAGACATCCAAGAAGAGTAGAAGAATAAATGGCATTGAAATAAAGAAAGTCTCTCTGGAGCTTTGTTCAATCGGCTTTGTTAGAATTCACTCAAATAGGATGATTATAAGAAAAGATCTCATTTGTTTCAACATTAAAGGAGCAAATTAATATGTGGCAAGCTGCTAATAATTGCCTCATTATGTAGTGAATGGGCATTGCGTCCAATTTACAAAATTACAATCATATTGTTAAAGTAACAATTGAGAAAGTTTAGTGTGAGTTTCCTAACTATCTGTGTGATTAGTTGTGGGATTCAGAGCGGAACAGTTGGTGGTTGGAGAGAGCGCACCGCCGGTCCATAGTGCTAAGGAGCCACAAGAGAAATTCAGCTTTTCATTAGTGGAGATTCCATCTGCAGAGGTCCTGAGCTGGGTTTGGTCCAGCTGGGGAGTGAATCTGGCAATCTCTGCTGAGACCAGAGCTTGGCGTGCGTCTGTTTGTCCAGACATTAGTGTGTGGTTCAGAGACCTGGCCTGAGATCCTCCCCACATGGCCCTCAGCAGATGTACAGGGCTGTGCCTGGGAAACTTGGTGATCCAAGATCTGTGCCACTGGGAAATCCACCCACACAAACGGTTCTGTAGCTGGAATTTCAGTCTCCTGGTGGAGAGACTGGAAATGGCGGGGGAGTTGTCAAATTTGGAAAGTAAGCGATTTTCCAAATAATGAAATCCTATGTGGAAGAGAATCATGTTTTGTGACCTACTTTAGCTGGATTTGCTTGTGACCTTTTCTAATTCTGGCTGATTTTGTTATTTAATGATTTGACCTTTGATTCTGTGAAGCCACTTCAGTGCTAAATGCAAAGATTTAATAACTAGAACTGTTTGATAAGTGACCTTTATTGCACAGCTATTTCTCTTTGCTAGAGAAATGGCACTGTTTTGCGAGTTCTAATTCACAATTTTAATTATCTTTTCTATTGTCTGTAAGCTTGCACAGGAAATGGAAAGGTCAGACATTTCATTTTCTTTACTGATTAAAATATAAGTGTTCCTCAACAGTTACAATGTATCATTCAGGAAAAAGATGGGACTATTTGTCAGAACCATACCCAGCTGCTCTGCTGAGGTCTTCTGCATCCTTCTGGTCAGCAAAAAAATGAGCAATTTTCTAGCAGCAATAATAGCCCAGCCCCCTTGGTGTTTAGAGGTGACATAAATGTGTAAGTACATGAAAAGAGAAGAAAACCTGAATGGTTCTTAATATTTTTGTCTTTAACTCATGTATCCATAATGCAAGTGAATGAAGATGTTGTGAGAGGTGAACCTTGGCCTGATTTTCTGGGTCCACAGAGGATAAGCAGCAACAGCACAAGTTTCAATGCGGTCCTGCCAGTCTCTTTCAGTCCCACTGCTGCTGAACCATCTCTGCAGATGAGAGGGCAGCCAGGACTGCCCATTTGTATTGTATGTGGATTCATGTGTGTCACTGAAACCACCCTTCTTGTCTGTGGCACTTACAAACCAACACCACAAACAGGTGGCCTGTCTCCATATGGGGTTCAGTGAGTCAATATTGATGTGTGTTTTCTCATATGTTGAGGGAGATACGATGCAAAAAGGTGAAGAAGGCAGTGGATAATTCTGGAGTCAGTGGAATATCTGTCATGGGTGTCAGTCTTCTAACTCTGTCTGGGATCTCTGTTGGGAAATGTGCATATTGGGACATGTAAAATCTCTGCATTCAAAAAAATACTAATTGTGAGATAGAGCTGGGAGGGAGTTAGCTTCTGACTCTGTTCAAGAAGAGCAGATTATATGTTGACCTAGTGTAGGCATTGCAGTATTATGAAAGCACTTTATAAATTGGAAGAAGATAAATGAATCACAAGAAAAGAGCTAGAAAACCAGGGGACACAGTTGCAGGAGTGAGTGTACTCAGCTTATTCAAGCAGAACAGTTGCACTCAGTGAATAGAAAATGTGCAATGCATTTCTAAGGTGAGGAAATTCAAACAATTCTAAATTTAAGAGAGCAGCTCCATTTAAATGGAGAAGGAAGAATTTAGTGAAAAAAGCAGCTCTAAGGATGAGACAAATTTAAATGGAACCAGATTGTTGACCAAATTGGCTTTTCCTATCTAGCAGTTTCATATTCAGCATTTGTTAGTTTGAAAGTTCAGCCAGAAAGCTATAAATTAATCTACTGGGTCTGTAACTATTCCCTTCATGCTAGAATATGAGTTATGCTCATGGATTTGTTTAGGTCACCCAGCCATGTCCTCATAATGTATCTTAGAGAGAATTTCTGTAAGTAAGCAGTAAACAGAAAGGCTGCTGCATTCAGCTGCATCTCCTGGGATTTCATCCCTGCTGTCAGAGAGCCATGCAGGACAGCTCTCTAAAACTATACCAGCTATAAAAAATGCATGGTGTTCTGTAAAGGAAACATTGACAATGCTTTTGCATTCAATCAGGAATCTTTAGCTACTGATTTAGGAAAGAATGTTTTCCTGAACTAGCCACATAACAAAATCAAATCAATGAAAACAGAGAAATCAAAGCTTTGAAATTGCAAGGTTTACTGCACAAGTCGTGCAGTATGCACCTTGATTCAGTACAATATTTGTCACCCAAAGATGATACATTTTAGCTCTTACAGTTTGGCTTTCTTAAAATGTTTGGCTCTTGTCCTTGCATTATTCCCCCTTATCAAAGGATTTGGTTTTTTGTCGGCAATTGCATCCTAGGGTTATAGTGGTCAAATGTAGGCAGGCTATTCATCCACATCAGCTAAATAAGGTTTGATTTTGAAGAGAAGTAACCACAAGGCTGATCAGAAAAGTACCTAGCATCCTGTCAGAGTAAATGTTCAATGAACGTGAAGAGAATTTTTCCTAAAAAATACTAAACTGAGGTCACTGCCTCCCAATTGTGAGCATGCCAGAGGATCAAATCTGTGACCATACAAAATATTGTAGGTTATCTCTGACCTAGATGATCTTCTGTAAGGTTTTTTTTGATGGGTCTAGTTTTCACTTGATTTCAATTTCTAACTGAACTCTTTATACAATCCAATTTAAATAGAGGGCATTTCCTTTTAGTCTGTAGGTACAAAACAACAAAAAGGCATTTACTCTTTATACTCTGACAAATGGGGCATCAGATAGGTCCTTATATCTCTGTTAGATTATTTTTTCTATTTTTGATTCATACTGGAGTAATAGCACCCTAGAATGTGGTCACAAAATACTGTCTTTGACTATGGTTTTCTCAGGATTAAGTTCCAATTCAGGTATCACCAGTCCCTCTACCTCTCAATTTTCATGGATCATAACTGCTCTCTGGAGAGGACAACACACTCCTCTGTCCACATCTCCTTTCCAACTGCAGAATTTTCATACTAATAGATTGCTTTTTAGAGATACATTTTGCATTCGACTTCTGTCACAAATTTGGGAACTGTTCATTCAGACACAAACACAGTTAATGAACAGTTAAACTTCCAGCATTACTTTTTCAGTAGGTTTTTTCCTATTGCTGCCAACACCTTGTTAAAAGAGAAGCCATTGATCTAAATACTGTGTTCTACTGTTTCTTTATTTCCTTGTTTTTTTAGTGAAAAGAGTAACATTTAGAGGGCAAAAAGGAATTATTATCTATATAGTTGACTTTGCAAAGCGGGAACAAAGGCAAAGATTGGAACTGCCTATTTCCTTGAAAAGGTTTGTATTTCTGGTGGTAGAGTTTTCAAATCCCACGTGGGGATTGTGGTTTTGGTTTTTTAAAGAGAAGCATTACTATCCATTTGTTGTACTGTACCTGTTTTTCTTTTAACTGAATTTTCAATCTTTATGTTTTATAGAGAAAAACTTGCAATATAAATTATTGTTTCCTGTCTTCCAGCCTCTACAACTTGACTGTGACCTCTGTGCCATTGTTTCAAACTCGGGACAGATGGCTGGCCAGAGGGTGGGCACGGAGATAGACAAGTCCTCCTGCATATGGAGGATGAACAATGCTCCCACAAAGGGCTATGAGGAGGATGTTGGGAAGAGGACAACCGTAAGAGTGGTCTCTCACACGAGCGTGCCTCTCCTGCTCAAGAATCCCGAGTACTTTTTCAAAGAAACCAACAACACTGTTTATGTGATCTGGGGTCCTTTTCGGAACATGAGGAGGGATGGAAATGGCATTGTGTACAACATGCTGAAGAAAACTGTTGACAGCTACCCAATGGCCAAAATCTACGTGACCACGGAGAAGCGCATGAGTTACTGCGATGCGGTGTTTAAGAGGGAGACGGGAAAGGACCGGTGAGTCTGAAACGTGAGGAACAATTAAAATGTTTGACAAAAGATAGGTGAGGAGATCCATGTGGGATGTCAGCTACTAAATGAGTCCCCAGATACGTTTTTAATAGAGTGTTATATGGGTTTGACTGTTATAAGCACTTGATGAGGCAGCAGCTAGGCCCCATTTACCCCACCTACGCTACCTTCTGTTCATTCCATTGCTGTTGGCTTGAATCCCAAAAATATTGGATGTCTTCCTGAAATGTTTTCAAAGCTGTGTGTTGTTTTCAGCTCAATTTACTATTGATTAAATTGACATTTTATTTGAAGAGGATAATCCTACACAAACAACATTTCCAAATGCACAACCTCAGGATAATTCTGGATATTGCATTTTCTTCTCTGTAGCTTTTCTTCAAACACAGACCTCAGGGTTATGCATTATTTCTGTTTCTTGGTGAAAACGGGTTATCAGACATACTGGAATACATTTAGGTTTTTACCAGTATATTATGCTGAAATTCTATTTTCTATGCTTGATAATGTGCATTTATGCTACTCAAGTGAGGCTGTAAGAGGTGAAGGTGTGAGGACTGTTTGGGCTAGCATGTTCAAAGGAGAAATTAGATTTGTGGAATTAAGACCATAAATTTCAGGAATTTCTAACCAAGCTGCAAAAATTCAGGTCATCTGTGTTTTGGCATGGAAGAGCACCTGTCACACATACTCATTTGAGCTAACTAGGAAGGCGTTTCCAGATCACTGCTGTGCCTTAATATTAATTTTTAAATTTGTGCATCATGAATTTGAGGTTGGAAAGGACTGTTGCTATTCTGACCAAATTAATGATGCAGGTTTTCACAAACAGCTTAATGTAGTCTGAAATTTTGACTTAGCTTTTGAAGTAGAAAAGCTTGTTATCTCAAAAGTACTTGTTTCACCATGTTATTAAACTGTCAGAACTTGGTGACAGTTGAATTTTCCTATTTTTCAAACTGTTGGAGCATAAGGAGGAGCCTGCCCCTGTTCACAAAGTGCACATATTGCTGCTGTGGTTCTGGAGTTGGAGGGAGCTCATATATCTCATAAAGGTGTCAAGGTTATCATGGCTTCTTTAGTTTAACTGAGCAAACTGATAACCAGAGGCTAATAAATACACATGATCCATTCTTGAAAAATGACCTTTAATAATCCAAGTCATCCTGTTTACATATTAATCAAGCTAAATATGATCATGGGCACATTATTGTATTGCTGTACATAAATTTGTTTATATTTATGAGTCAGTCAGGTCACAGCGACTTTACATTATGTCATCAAAATCCTTATTGTGAGATAAGACCTTGAGAAAATCTCCTCTTTTTCCTATGAAAGAAGGACATCTCATCATTCAGTGTCAAAGTATACCTCTCTCCAGCCTAATCCATTCCTCTTCAACAAATTAACACATCTCAGGTTTTTATAGTTACTCAATTAACACAATACAAATGCTTCTTTTCATGTAAAAAACAGATTGAACTTCTCTCAGAGCTTATAACAAAGTTCTTAAGCAACCTAATGTCAAAATGACCCATGTTCTTTTTCCTTAAGTTTCACATTGCAGCAGCAATACATTTTTATGAGCCTGGCTCACGACCCTTCACGTTGTTTGTGCACGTGTCCCTTTGACACCAAGGGAAAACCCACCACTTCTCACAGTGGCAGCCAGGTAACATACTTGTATCCACTGAAACTTTCATTTTTAGTCCTGCTTTTCCACATCAAATACTTAGTGATGTTTTTAACATCATTTAGTGATTTTGTCATGCAGAAACAAGGGAAATGATTGATGCATCACCAGCCAACGCCTTCTGTATCTCAAGAAAACATCTTGCAGTTCCCTAGTAATTGGGGACTTCAGTTTGGAAACTGTTTCATTTTCTGTAACATCTTCAATTTGCAGGACCTGTCTTCTGTTTCTAGGGAGGGTCATGAGACTGTTAGAGGTATGTGGCATTTGTGGAAGCAGTAAATGGAGAGCACAGGAGATTTGTGGGTGATGAAAATACTTTCACACATTGTGCCAGGCTATTATGATGCTGAGACAGATTCAGGTTCCTCAGCCAAATATTCCTTCAGTTCCTCAGAGAAACATCAACCCTTGCTTGGAATATTAGATTGAACAGAGGTCTGGTTCGACATGTTTCCAGCAAAAATTCTGGAAGGAAACCAATTTCAACTCATATTTTAAAATGTACTGAGTGAATTGCAACTATATCTATTTTAGTTTAATCCTAAAATACTGTCTTTCTGTACAGTGTATGCTACTAATGCATAGTAAGATTGCAGCAGATTTCTAGTCTGTCGAGCCTTTAATGAGTTTTCTGTTTCTACTCTTTGATGTACAATCTTTTTAGGTAATTAGTGGGACTTTTCAGCAGTTTCATCCTTGTGGATCTCAAGTTTTAAAAAGATTTTGTGAGAAGCAGCTAACAGGTAGGTGCTGCAGTCACTTCTCTACTGCAGAAAAGCTCTGGTCCTGCAGACATGGGAGCTTTATCCCTGACTTCAATGGACGCAGCTCCAAAATCCACAGCTTTGATATTGACAAATGATTTATTACTGATACATGGAAGATACAAGAATTGCCTCTGAGTAACTTTGAACAAACAGCGGTTTTTATTTTGTAATGCATTTTTTAATTCTACAGTAGTACAAAATGCCCTCTGATATGGGCTGTCCACACTGGGTAATTAACCTTGCATGAGTGTTAAGAATCTGGGGAACATATGTTCTTTCTGAGAGTATTTGTTAGTGAAGCAGTCGAGTTCAAGGTGGTGAATGCTCATCCACTTTGAATAATTGTTGTTCATAAATAATATTCATTACCAGACATTCACAATTTTTCATTAATGCATTTTGCTTGGTACTTCCCTAGAGGGAGCATAAAGCTGGCAGCTTCTTCCAGTACTTCACTAATGTGCTGGTATATTATATATATATTTACTCAAGTGAAAGGATTTAAAGAGATATTAGATAATTACTAAATGTGCCATCTTTGTATGTACCTCAATCCAGATAAGTGGTTCTAAAGCCATCTATATCTCTGCCATGCAATACAAATATAATGCAATATGATATAATAACATTTAATTGGTAATAACAGAGAAAACTGTAGTCTTCATTAAAGCAGCAAAGCTAATTCTGGTCTGATAAAGTGTACTGAGCATCCCTAAATAGGTTTTAATTAGCTGGCACCAAAGCTTCACCACCCTTAGGGAGGGTAAAATTAATGAAAACTAGCAGCAAATAGATCAGTGCTACTGGATGTTCTTGCCTTAGGTGAAGGTGATGAGAAAGAAAGGAGCGTCTTTTAAGGATCATTTAGAAAACAGTCTGCGTGAAAAGTCACTTTCAACAAGCAATGCTAAAATAAATCTATGCTGATAGCAGAGCACTGATGTTTCGTGGACTGCAGGGAGCTCCATTTGTGTTTCCACTGCAAGTATCTCAGGCCAATCCCTGAGCACTGCCCAGCTCCACATCCCCCTTGGGGCTGGCAGTGGGCTCAGAGCCTCTGTCCCACTGCACAGGGGAGGTGTCCAGCCCCAGCAGACAGCCAGTGCTGATGTGCTGGTACTGCTCAAAAAACACCTTAACTGGCTGTCACTCTTCTTGTGAGTAACTACTGAAAAGAGCCTGCTGGGCTCTGCTGAAGAAATGTATCCTGACCTCCTAAAATTCCCAGTATGAGATATGAGATGATGTTTGGAAATTTCAGCCAGTTTGGTAGACAGAGGACTTTGCATGTGCACTGTGTTAACTCAGACTGTGCTCATCCCATACCCAGTCAGTCCAATTCAGCAGCATTTTATTAGTTACACACACGTGTCTTCAGGAGGCAGGTTCACTGAGCCACATTTGCAGTCAAATTGCTGTTTCTGAAAGACTTCTGTCGATATCTTGGACAATTCTGAAGAAACAAAATTGCTTTTGTGCTTCTCTTCCAGAAGTTCTTCATTTCCTCAGTTCATGCCAGATGGTGCTACATGTTAGGTTGTGAGAAAGCTGTTTTATCATTCAAGGCAGAAAGATGTATCATTCTGGTTGCTGACTTCTGCATCAAAATTCAAAATTTGGGGTTGTGTTCAAGCTTCCATTTTACTCAGTTCTGCTCACTAATTATTTATGACTTCAGTGATATATGAGATCTATATTATATCTCTGTCATTTAGAGCTAGCAAATTACATTCATCTAAAGTTTGGATTGACACTGTTAAGACAACTGCAGTCATCACAGCTTCACCTCAGCTAATGTGTGGTGTTTCATGTGTCTGACTAATCTACATGAAGCTATAGTCTAGTAAAAATGTCATTGAAATGAATAAATGAAATTACATTCTCTGAGGTTCAAGTAGCTGCAAGTTCTATTGTTTGGTGATATTCTCTGTGAATTGAGGCAGTAAAGCTGTCAGTGTCCAGAATATCAGAGTTTTATGCTGTGTTTCTGGTTGTTGGCTTGAATGAAATATGATAGTAATGATATTTTCATTTTTGGGCCTGCTTTCATGTATGTATTGGTTTCTCTATCAGAGTTATTTGGAGGAAATATAAAAGATTAGTTAGTGTTGCTTAAAATTTGCAGAAAGCACTTTTTCCTTGGGAAGCTGTGAACATTGACACTGAGTTTGGCTCAGAGAGTTAAATTTTGGCACTTGGGAAGTACATCCCATCAGTACTTTGTATTAATGTGATTTAAAAAAAATCTGGAAGATGAGTAAAAGTTCATTTCATTTTGAATAGAAATTGAGCAGAGTTAGGGAATACCGATGTCTTTAAATTACAGAACTTTAGGAAGAAAAGGATGAAAAAATTGAGTCAGACTGACAGAGGAAATGTTATACATGTCTGTTGGAACGTTTTTAAGGACAAAGATTAATTGTAGTTTACAATTTGCTGTAGTCTTTATCATGATAATGTAATATCTGCTGCTGCACCAGTAAAGTCAGCAAAAGTTTTCAACTGCCCATGAGCATCTCAGC